TATGGTGTAGATACAAGCATGCTATTTAGGGTGGCAGTGAATAAAATTAAAATAGCTATGATGGTAACCAACGTTCTGAAAGGACATGGTACATGAAGAAGATTAATAGTATTTGAAACTTTAAAATTGTCCATATTTTCTTTAGTTAAAGCAAGATATTTAAACAAAACACGTTTTTAAATAGGAGATAGGAAACACACAATAACAAAACTTAACCTCACTTTCCGCTAATCTTAACAGTACAAGTCGTGCTTCAAAACAGTAACAATTATAAACTAAATCTGACACTTCTGAACCTAAGAGTATAAGTTGACTTAGATTTCTAGAGTTAGTGAAAGAAAGGAAACCTATGCTACAGTACGCCACAAAAACAGGAAACAATACTTAATAAATAGCGGAGCTAAGCTTGAAAATGAAATAAATGTGCATCAGAGATGAAAACAACCAATTAAATACGGTATGTCAACAACTAAAGCAACATACAAACCGCCATGAAAGTCAAGAACTAACATATCAAGAATTATAGGCACTTAACAAGATGCACGAGTCAAGATGCTTAACCAACTAAAAAACAAAAAAAAAATCCCCGGGATAGATGGCGTACCAGCGAATACTCTAAAACCAATGAGCAAAATTGGTATAGATGTAATACTGGATATTTGTAACATAATATGGATTACAGTTTTTTTTTAATTAGTTACACTCAACAATCAAAACACCAATAATGTTCTATAAGCTAATTTGTTGGCTGCAGAGCAAAGATCTCCTATTCGCTTGGTGAGGTCTTCTCCAGTGACTAGACCGCTTTAACTGTTTGTCAGTTCCTTTTAATTCTACTATTAGCATTATGTTCTATTAGAGGTTGAAGTAAGGGGTCATCCTGTGATTCCAGTCCATGGTGCTTCGTGCTACAGTTCTTAGGTCTTCATGAAGCTCTAGGTTTGACACATACCAGGGTGCATAAATTATCTTCCGCAGTATTTTCGATTGGCTTTTTTGAATTATGGTTGTATATGACTCGGTCGAACATCCCCAGAGTTGGATTCCATACGTCCAGATAGGTTTTATGATAGCTTTATAGAGAAGAATTTTATCCTATTTTACCGACTAGCTAGTGTAGATCCTTATTTCTTAGGTCAATTTGTTTCCGCTTCTTAAGAATATGTTATTTCCAATTAAGTTTTTGGTCAAGATAGTATTTGGAGTTAAAGGATTGAGGAAGTTTTGATATTGTTTAGTGAAACTAGGGGACACTTTTCTCTTCTCAAGGTAAAAGTAACTTGGACTGATTTTATGTCATTCATTTTAATTCTTTACTTCTAAGTGAAACTGTACGTCTACACCTGTAGAATGTTACATGGTATAGTTGGATTTTCGTCGACTGCAAGGATAAAAGCATTATCTGCAAACGTACCAGTAAAGGTTTTATTATTGGAGGGTAGATCTGATTCAGATAACACATATAATATTGGTTTAAGAAAGCTGCCCTGTGGGACACCAGATTTTATAGGAAAATTATTGAAATTACTTTTATTCACTCTTGTTCGGAATTCTCTCCTGCTTAAATATAATTTTAACAGTTTCAGGTAGGTGATATTAAGATCACCATATAAAAATCAAGCCTATGTACCACACCTTGTCAAAAGCTTGACTAACGTCTAGAAAATCAGCTGTGCAGTACTGTTTGCTTTCTATTGCAGAACTTATGGAGTGTACTATTCTGTGAGCCTGTATCGTTGAGTGTTTTTTTCGAAAGCCAAATTGGTGATTGGATATCCATTCCTCCGTATTGGGTTCTGGGTTAATTTTTTGTAACTGTAATATTTCAAGTATTTTGGAAGCTATTGGTAGTATACTTATTGGCCTATATCAAAAAACCTTATTTGTATTTTTTCTTGCTTTTGGAATTAGTGTTATTTCAGCGGTTTTAAAGAGCTTTGACCGGTAATTTGACCGTAGAATGGCATTGAAGATGAGAGAAATAGTATGATTATTTTATCTAGTAGTTCCTTTATCATCTTGGGTGCTATTTTGTTCAGTCCAGGAGTGTTTCTAATATTTCAATATTGAATTTATTGTTGAACTTCGTTTTTAGTTAGTGGTGGGATTACTGGTCTGTTCTCTGGAATGTTATTTACGTTCGTTACGTTACGTTATTTACTCTCTTTCAATTTTAATGTGTGGAACTTCGTTGTTGGAAGTAAATACTTAAGCTAGGTACTTTTAATTGGAGGTACTGAAGTTTTAGATTTTTTGCTGTTTTTAATCGGTTTCCATATTCCATTATCGTGCCGATTAAGATTTGTTATGTAGTTTGTAAATGACAGTTCTTGTGCCTCTTTAAGTTTGGATTTTAGTTGATTGCTTAGCCTGTTTAATGTAGTCTTGTTTGCTGGGGCATGGGTTCGGTATCATTTGGCCCTAGCTTTCGTTTTTTCAGATACCAACTTTTTTATTTTAGCTTGGATGTATTGGATTTTGCTACCTGTATTGTTCGCAGGTGTAGCATTTTGTATGGCATCTATGAGAGTGTAGTTTAAGGCTGTTAGTGTTTCATATATCTCCCTTGTTGTGTTAAAGCTTACTTGTAGTGTACTGATATTTGTCCTAGTTAGTTCTCCCAGTGTACCACCTTGGTGTGGCCGTTTTGTAGACTATGAAGCTGCTAATAGTTGCTATAATTGGGGAGTGTTCGGATGAAAGGTCATATCTCGGCGTGACGTCATGGCATGATGAGTGGTGCAAATCAACCTTTATCCATAAAAAAGATCATCAACAGTATTCGGTTATTAAAAAACTACTGCTCCTATTTCTCATGCAAGCAAAAACGTGCTACATATAATCAGTGAATGTCTAAAGAACTTTTTACTTCCAGAGATTACCCAAGAACAATGCGAAATCATATCAGGGAAAGGAAAGCGTAAGCAGATATTGATAAACCAGATAGGTAATAAAAATGGTAACAGAACACAATATAACAATTCTGCTCTGTTTTGTTGGTTGCAAAAGGGTTTTCGATTCAGTAAAATGAAATCTCATCTGGAGTATAATGGGACATGTGGGAGTTACTAACCACATAGTTACCCTAATAAGAAATCTGTATGATAAAAACACAGCCAAAATTAAAGTACCTATACAAAAAGTACTAGATGAACAGAATGAAGGAATCAGGATAATGATAGACCAATAACAAGGAATACTAATCTCAGATTGATTATTGCCATTATTTTTCACATTACAATCGACGAAGCTAAAACATGTACTCTCAAAAAAAATCGAAGTAAGATCGAAGCTTTCAAAATGTGAATTTAAGGAAGGGGTCTATGCACATCCTGCATAGAACACAGAACCAACCTGTCAGTCCTGGAAGAGCTTAATATAAAATACAAACTACAAGAAAGTTAACCGAGCTTAAATAAATTATTTACTATGGAACTATTCGCAGTAAAACTCTACTATTGACCAGATATTCACAATAAAACAGATAATGGAAAAATGCTGGGAGTTTGATTATGAGCTTCATCAGATGTTCATAGATTTTAAACAAGCATTTAATACAGTATGCAGGAACAGACTGTGGACAGCGATGCAGGAACTTTCCAAAAAAACTAGTCAGGTTGATACGGATGTGTATGGAACGGTTACGATGTAATGTGAGAGTTGGACAACAATATCCGGAGACATTTGAAATAAACAATGGACTAAAACAGGGAGATGCACTTTCACCACAACTCTTCAACTTACCTCTGGAGCACATAATTAGAAGTGCAAGAATCGAAAAACCTAATACAGTATTTTATCGAGAAGGACCAAACTTACTACTGGCATTTGCAGACGATATCGATCTAATAGGAAACACACCATTAAGGATGAAGGAGACTTTCGTGAGGTTCGAGAAGGAAGCAGGGAAGATGGGGCTCTAAATCAACGAAAACAAGACGAAATATATGTATATGAGCCGCAATAACCAAAGCAGAAACGGATCACAAGAAATAAACAACAGGTTTTAGGCCGGCAACAGATGTCTTTTTGCAATCCACAACCTGATAAAATCAAAACAACTAACACGACGTACGAAGATATAGGTATATAAAACAATCATACGACCCGTTGTGATGTATGGAAGCGAAACGTGGACACTGCCAAAGGCAAACGAAGAGGTACTATGTGTTTGGGATAGAAAAATCCTAAGGAAGATCTTTGGTCCTGTGCTGGATGAAGCATCAGGACAATATAGGATAAGAACTAACAAAGAGCTTAAAGAACTAAAAGACTCCAATAGGCAGGACACCTCAAAAGACATTCGAACGAACAGTAAGACTGGTGTGGGAGGAAGTCCCAACTGGAAGGAGACCACGCGGACGACCTCGTCTCCGGTGGCGAGATAATGTAGCAGGAGACCTAAGCACTATGGGCGTGGAGAATTGGATAAAGGTTGCTCAAGACAGAAAAGAGAGTATTCGTAGTAAAAAGAAAAGTAAAAAGCCGAAAACTGAGAAGATCTCAACATGATGGGTAGACCAAATGAGACTCTGGTGGGAGATATACGTTATTGGTTCATTCATATAAAGGTACTGGTATCTTTTTTTACAAAAAATTGTTATAAATGGATATTTATTATAATACTCTTCTTTGAATCTACGGGAATAATTTTATCTAACGTATTAAAAAAAGCTATGGTATCTCTGGTTAAGAGACTTTTCTTTAAATCTCAAAATATGCTATCTACTTCTAAATCATTTTGATTTTTGGTTCCTTACTCTCTTCCTAACTATCTCGCCCGTTATTATTTTCAGTGTTTATCTCAGTAGTTTATGATTTGGGTTGTTTATATATGGTACCAGTTAATATTGTATTCTAATAAGATACAGATAAAAATTTATAATTCTGGTATATTTGAGTTAAGTATGTCTAATACCGGTACCTTTTAGAACTTTACGATATTAGTATACTGCAAATGAGGCATATATATTAATTAAATAAATCCTAATATTTTTCAGGTATGGGACTACGATCCTATGATTCCATTCAAACCAGTTGTAGAACCAAGTGAAGTTGAAGATCCATTTATGCCTGATCATCCGCTAAATATTATTAAGTCTGGAAAAAGTATGGATGTTCCAATTATTATCGGAATCACAAGGGAAGATGGTGCTCTGAAAAACGCAGGTAAATAAACAGTTAAGATGAAATATTTTATAGTTGTATTTCTTAATAATATCAATGTTTATAAAAGTTAGAAATAATCTTGAACCCCTAAAAATCATACAAACAAGCTGAATTTTGCCGAGAGTATTAATTTTGAGGCTCCAAAAAGATTCAAAAGTTTACCAACTCTACCTCCGGGCTTCCCCTAAAACCCTCCTCGTAAGGGGGTAAAAATGCAAAAAATCAATTTACCAAGAATCTGTACGCCGGAAAAAAACTGTTTCAAATAAACAATGTAGCCGTGATAATGTTAAACAAAAATGTTAACAACAACTTTTTGTATATAATGAACCGTTCTCTAAGAAACAGCGCTTGAAGTGATCGTCGATTTTAAACATCAATTACACGCACAAAATCAATGCTTTATAAAATTTGTATCAGCTCGATGGTAAAAATTCGATATCTTTTGATCAAAGTGTCCTATCGACAAATCTCAAGATGCGTTTTAAACATAAAGAGTGCAACTTTCGTATGCAGTTTGTGTATTTTGACGAGAATGAACTCAGTTTTTATAAAGGTGTTAAATAAATAAATATGGCACAATTTTTGTCATTTTTTACGACTCTCGCGAGATCAATAAAATTGAACACTGTCATTGACAAGTCGTAGTAAAATTTCTATTTTTAGAGATCAATCTTTAAAACCTATGACATGAAATTTCAATTTTGAGTTGTGGCAACAAATATGAAGCATTTGAAATATGAATAAAAACGCAGAATTTAATGTTTTACATTACAAATGATTGCACGTTTACAGCAGAAGTTTAGTTCTTTGAAAAACGTACTAGCGTAATTAAAGTAAAAAGTTTTAAATAGTTTAGATTGTTTTTTATGTATAAGTCTAAATCCAGCGTTTTTAAGCGTATTTCAAATGCCTCACATTTGTTGCCAAAACTCAAAACTAAAATTTCATGCTATACGTTTTAAAGATTAGGCTCTATTAATAGTAGAGCTCTATTATTATAGTAGCTCTATTATAGTAATCAAAACTTTATAGTGGTAAGTTAATGAAAGGCATATAATGTATTGATCCCGTGAGAATCATAAAACATAGCAAAAATCGCGCCACGTTTATTAATTTAACACCTTTATAAAATATGAGTGTATTTGCGGCAAAACACAAAAATTGCATCCAAAATCCAAACTCTGTACTTTTAAACGTATCTTGATTTTTGTCGATGGGACACTCAAATCAAAAGATATCGAATTTTTTTTACCAACGAGCTGATATAAATTTTATTGAACATTAATTTCGCACGCATAACTGACATTCAAAATGGACGGTCGCTTCAAGCGTTGTTTATAAGAGAACGGTTTTTTCTAAACAATGTGCTAATAAACATTTTTGTTTAAAATTATCTCAGCTACATTTTTTATTTAAAACATTTTTTTCTACGGCACACACATCTAGATAAATCGATTTTTTGCGTTTTTTAAAGGGTGTTTTAGAGGAAGCCCTGGAGTAAAACTGGTAAGCTTTTTTGCATCTTTTTTGAAATCCCGAAATTAACATTCTTGTTGAAGTGAAAAATCGCTGCATAATATATATATATATATATAAATTTTTTGGGCAATTTCGAGTGTTAAACTCAAATAAGCAGTTAGTGATTGTGAGTAAACGCATAGAACAAAAGTGAAAAAGATAAATTGATTATTATTAGCAACTGTATGTACAAACTATATATTAATTAACAATCTGTACAGACGAACTCAATGAATACGAATCTTCTTCTTTCAGTGCCTATTCGTTCCGAATATTGGCAATCATTCTGGCTATAATTATTTTATTAACTGCTGCTTTAAATAAATTCGTTGTTGTTGTGGAGAACCATTTCCTCAGGTTCTTCAACCATGATATTCTCCTTCTCCCAATTCCTCGCTTTCCGAATACTTTACCCTGTAGGATTACCTTCAGTAATCTGTATTTAGTGCTGTTTCTCATTATATGCCCGAGATATTCCAATTTTTTCCTTTTAATGGTATACATCACCTCTCTTTCTTTGCCCACTCTTCGTAATACGGTCTCGTTGGTTATCTTGTCTGTCCATGATATCCTTAGAATTCGCCTGTATAGCCACATCTCGAAGGCTTCAAGTTTTTTCTCCATTGCTTCAGTTAGTGTCCAGGATTCAACTCCGTAATACAATATTGAGAAGATATAACATCGTAGGAGCCTTACTTTTATCTCCAGATTAAGATTGTGGCTTTTAAAGAGTTTGGCCATGTTATTGAATGCACTCCTAGCCTTCTCTATTCTACATTTTATTTCCTGTGAGTGATCCCATTGTTCATTTACTGTTGTTCCAAGATAGTTATACTGTTTTACTCGGTCCACTGGTGTATTATTGATAAGTAGTTGAGCGTCTCTAACTTTATTTTTGCTGATGATCATAAATTTAGTTTTTGTTATATTTACTTGAAGTCCAAATCTTTCACTTACTTCATTTACTTTGTTTATTAGTTGCTGTAAACTGTTCAAACTGTCTGCAAAAATAACGGTGTCGTCTGCATAACGGATGTTGTTTAGGCGTTCTCCATTTAGAAGTATTCCATGTTCGCATTTTTCCAAGGCTTAACTAAATATTTCCTCTGAATATAGATTAAATAATATAGGTGAAAGTATACAACCTTGTCTAACGCCTCGTAGAATCTGGATCATTTCCGTTGGTTCACCTCCAAAATTCGTTCTTATTGTGGCTGATTGGTTCCAGTATAAATTTTGTATTATACGCCGATCTTTATCATCCATTTGGGCTTTTGTTAGAATATCCGTCATTTTTTGGTGTTGAACTGTATCAAATGCTTTTTGGTAGTCCACAAAGCAGGTGTAAATATCGCAAGTCATATCTCTGCATCTTTGAAATAATACTTGTAGACTAAACAGTGCATCTCTTGTACCTACGCCTTTCATGAATCCAAACTGTGTGTCTTGTATTCTCTCTTCGCATAGCTTGTATATTCTACGATGTATAATTTTAAGAAAAAGTTTTAATGTATGGCTCATTAGACTTATTAGCCTATATTCTCCGCACTTTTTTGCTCCCTCTTTCTTTGGTAAGGTAATAAATTCTGAAAGTAGCCAATCTTTTGGGATATTACCTGTGTCATAGATATTATTGAAGATTTTACATAGTACTCTTAAAGATTCATCATCAAGAAGTTTAAGAAATTCAGATTGTACTCCGTCTGGTCCTGGAGCTCAACCTTCTTTTAGTGATATTATGGCTGCTCTTATTTCTGCCACTAGTATAAGTGGTCCTGTTTCCGTAGGTATTGGGGGCTGGTTCTCTCTCTCATAAAAAAATAAATTTCTTATGTAATTTTTCCAGGTATCATTGATACTCTCTTTGTCCACGATTATCTCTCCATTGTCATTAACAAGTTTACTTACTCTTCTGTTTTTACATTTACCTGTAATTTCTCTTACCTTCTTATGCACGTTGAAGTCGTCGTATTTACTTTGGAGAATTTCGATTTCTTGGCATTTTTTCTCCAGTTCTTTCTGTTTGGCTTCTCTGATTTTTCTCTGTATCTCTCGCTGTAATGTTTTATAAATGGAGTTATCGTTCTTGTTTTTCCTTCTTTCTTCCATTAGTTGCAGAATCTCTGTCGTCATCCATGTCTTATTCTTACCTTCTTCGTTCTTCATAAAATTGTCTTTAATGTCGTCTATTGTTTTCTTAAGGGATTCTATCTTATCTTCGAATATCTTATCTTCGAATACGAATAGTAGACTTTAAATTGTGCGGTGGTTCTTATCGCTGTAAACTTCTTCCAAAGTCAGTTTACCATCGCATCGTCGGCTTTTTAGGCCCGGCGCAAGTTGAGTATAGCCCACGCACATCCCAAGCTCAGCACACGCGTGGGTTATTTTGTAAAACGTGGTTTTAGACGGAGCGACGCATATTAAACCCAAACCACTGCCAGACTTGGTTGGCGTGGATAGAGGACCTAGCAACACAGTTTCGTGGGTCGTGGGTCTCTACCTAATCTTAGTTATGATGTCATTTTCTGTACTGAACCAAGAATTCCCAAACGTAAAAAAATAAAATCGGTAGAATTCTTTTTAAAAATCGATAGATTGTGGAGTAAAATCGGTAGATCTTTCAAAATATTATATTTTGTTTAAATTTCATATTGTTTTGCAATTCGTTTATTTTAGAAAAAATAAAATCACATTCGTTGGCGTGGAAATAAAGAAAAGTTCGTCAAACGTATATTTAGATAAAAATCATATCATGGTATATTTTGTATTAATTTAAAAATTGTCAAACAATAAAATATTTCTTGCAAATTAAAACTTGTTAATTTTAGTTATTGATAAGAATATGTAACTCATTATTTAGCTTGCACATAGCCTATTCTATTTTATTATAAGTTATTTTCTTCTTCTTCGCGTAGAACTATCAGAACTCTCCGACGTTGGCGATCACCATTGCGAAGGCTTCTCGATCTTCTGCAATATGGAATAATTATTGTCCTGCATTTGGTATCTGAGTCCATTCACGAATGTTTTTTAACCAAGAAACTTGTTTTCTTCCTAGGCCTCTACGGCCCTCTATTTTTGCCTTTAAGGATCAGTTGTAAAATTTTATATCGACTTCCCCTTACTATATGTTCCAGATAAGACATTTTTCGATGTTTAACAGTCTTTAGCAGTTCTCTGTCTTTGTCGACGCTCCTTAGTACTTCTTCATTAGTTTTTCTTGCTGTCCAAGGTATCTTCAGCATTCGTCTATGAACCCACATTTCCAATGCTTCAATTTTGTTCATGATCGATACTTTTAGCGTCCACACTTCTGCACTATACAAAAGTAGAGACCAAACAACACAACCATTCTTTGCCTTAGTTCTAAACTGAGATGGTTATTGAAAAGAAATGACTTCATTTTTATAAAAGCAGTTTTAGTCATTGCTATTCTACGTTTTATTTCTATGTCTGGATCTAGTTGGTCCATTATC